AGGAGACCAACTTAAGAAAACGCTGTCAAGATTTCCTTATCTCATTATTGAAGCAATTGAAGCAGAGACTTCCTGAAAATCTAGATGTTTTGAAAAATATTTCACTTTTTTTCTGTGAGCAACATACTTCAGCCAATAAAGGACATACCTAAATATTGTAAAGTTATGAAATTGTTAGGGGCTACTGATAATAGTGTCGCGGAAGCAGAATATCAGTTAACCAAAATAAAGTTAGCTGAATGGACAAACAAAACAGAAACAAATTAAAGCGTTTTGGAGTGAAGTGAGACAATTTAAAGATGCCTCATCAAACAGTCCATTCTGTAAGCTCTTTAAAGTGCAATGTCTGCCATGATACTACCCCACTCAAATGCTGACGTAGAAAGAGTTTTCAGTGCTAGGAATTATATCAAATCTAAACTAAAAAACAGGATGAAATTTGACCTCTTAAATGCTATCGTGCCTTTAAAATTCGGCCTGATGAGACTAGAGAAATAAGCATTCTGTTCCACTTATAAAGAAATTTGAACAGCTAAAGCATACCAAGATAGGTGTATCAGACGCAGGACATCTTGCTCATGATAGGAAGGTTTTCCGGAGGGTTGTTATGGCAGCGAGGTTCCGCGAGGGACATGCTACTGAATGAATGAATGAATGAAAGCATACCAGGGTCATTTTGGATCTGAAGCTTCAACTTCATTATCTAAGCTAAGTTTATCCTGTGGATCTTGTGGGGCAGACAATATTGAAGGTGAGGACATGATTATGTAGGGTAAGTCATAACAAAAGCTATGTAATTTTTGACTTTTTTAATTTGGATGTTTTTTCTAGATCTTTTCCACACAGATTCAGATATTTTAAGATATTTTTTGGAACCGTTTTGGATATTTTTTGTCAAAGAAAAGTGGCAACACTGGTTGTGATTATCGTCTGGCGGAAAAATCAAACATTGTTTCTTGTTCGTTTGTCGGTAAGTCTTTCAAAAACTGTATCCATTTATGTCTTTTGTGTGTGTGTGTGTGTGTGTGTGTGTGTGTTTAAAACCTTTCTTATATATAAAAACTAACATCTTGCATAATTTATTGTTTTAAAAAAAGTTTTCCCCCTTCATCGCAGACAGAGACATTTCAATAATTTCGACAAGTTTAGGTTTAGGATGCGAACCAAACACGGTTGTTAACTCTTTCAGGCCCATGAATTTAGACGAAACTTGGCCCACATTAATTTCCCTTTACAAAAATGCCAGAGGGGTGGGTGTACTGTACAAGATAGGCAATAGAGAATGTAAAATACTTCTAATCCCAATAAAAGTATGTATTCTTTTAAAGAGAAATGAATGTACATTTTGAATCTGATGATAAGTATATGTTTAATTTAGGTACTTTAGTCAAATTTTCAAAATGCCCTCTACCAATAAAACCAGCACAGTTAGATAGCTGTAAACAATCTCTTTCCAACGGTACTTCATTTAGGCTTGTATGTCATTTCTGAGCTGAGATATGTAGGTTTTTGTGGAGATAAGATGTCAAAAACAGCTGTTGAAAACTTTCGTTCCAGAAACAAGAAGTTTTCTCTGCGCAACCAAACTGCGCACTTTTCGTTTTGGCTTTGTTTACATTGGACAAGATGGCAGACAATGAGATACAGCCACATAATAGTGATTGCCTGAAAAATGTCACTGTAAATCCAACAAGCCACTGATAAGAAAGAAATTTTATGTACAAATGTAAAATTGGACGGAGAATTCAATTATAACTAGCATTACCAGGACGAGTAATGTTAAAACCTAAAGCCAACCTTGAATACTTACCGTTATTTTTAATCAAACTGATGTAACAGAAAAACAGAGGACGTCCGGCTGTCATAGACATGCGCTGTTAATCGGGTTTGTTCCCGCCGTTTTAAGCTATTTATAGCTGGTGAAAATCACACCAATCGCAAAATTTCATGAGACATTCGGACCCATCCTAAAACCAGCCGACATTTCCCAAACAAGTTTCGAACGGTTTCCATGGTAACGGAAATTGCTAAAAGACCGCAAATTGCCGAACACCGTAGTCGCTATTTAATTTGGGTCCTCCTTGCAATAACGGTCGCTACTTGGACGGCGTCGGCCGCTTAGTCGGAGTTCAGTCCCTGGCTGCAGTGCAATTGCGGAGTGGACAAGGCACGAATCACAAAACACAAAGAGTTCAATATGGCGTCTAGACCACGCGCTGCAACTCACATTACCCTAACCCTACCCCTAGCCCTAATTATGTCATTTGTGTCGTTCCCTCTTTTCCACTCCGTAATTGCACTGCAGCCAGAGGACTGAACTCTGACTAAGCAGCCGTCGCCGTCCAACTAGCGACCGTTATTGCAAGGAGAGCCTTTAATTTGTTTATAGTTAGTAGTGTAGGAAAGAAGAATTCAGCAGGTGTTGTTAATTTCACATTTTACAAATTCTTCACTTACCATAATTTTGCAGCGACTCAAGTAGTGAATATCCAAATTTGAAAACAAAACTTTACAGTTTGTTCAATTTCCTAACAAATTCCTAAGTTATGATAAGTTTCTGGGTTAGTTTAGCACTCAAGCACTCTTAGTTCTCACAGAGTGATAAGAAGAATTTCAGATAAAAAAATGGTTGAAAAAGGAGCCATTACACACACGCTGTTTACTATGTACAGTTATATACAGACTGTAACTGCGATGATTTCAATGTAGCTTAGCCATAGTACGGTAGCAATGGGACATTGTGTAATAAACTCATCAGAATCGCTAGATTTAGAACAGCCGATCCCTCAGCTTCGCTGGTGAAAAATCACCGTCTGAATCACTTTTCTAAAAATCTAAATTTTCTTTATCGTTATCAGAATTAGATCATCTGACTGAAACAATTCCAGAGCTTTGGCCGCAGAAAGACGCATTCTGCGATCTGTACTTGTGGTGGGTTCATTGGTAGGCTCTCCTCCGAACTTCTACCCCGGCAATATGGTGGCCAAACAAATACCCTAACAGAGCCTCAGTCCTATGAAAAATGTGCGACTTCCTGCGACGAACAAATCGCGGCAAAACTAGGATTAAAAAAATTTTTGTCGTGAATCCGTTCAGATAATGCATGTTTGATTTCTGATAGGGAAAGTATCTGAAAGTATGTCAGCAGAGTGACTTTCCCTGAATAGGGAACATTAGTACTTCCGAACATTAGAAACAGGTATGGACCCGTGTGCAAAGCAAAATGTACGGGATACATGATCGGCGATGACAGGGTTGATTGGTCAAAACGGAACTTCTCAATCAATGCTTGCACAGTTCCTTGGGCCGTAAAGAGTTAAACCCCCACCTTCCTTTCTTCCCCCCCCCCCCCCCGGTGAAACCATAATATATTCAAATTTAATGTAGTACAAGTATTTTTTGGCATCACAAAACAGTTACGAAGTAACCTCTAGTCCAGTATGCTTTATGTGGGGTGGGGCATGAATAATTAAAATGAATTTCCATACTTGTGTAGTTTACCCCACCCCCCACCCCACCCTTACATCCTGCACTGAACTGATACAAATTGACTCGTCCACTCTCCTAAAGTGAAGGTGAAAAGCCTGGAATTTTTTCAAAATACAGTGAGAATGAATCAGTTACTAATTGATTTGATAGCATATTGATTAGGATTAGCCTCATCATAAAATTACTAACGTACACATCAAAGGAAGAGGTACTTTGTAAGGTCAATAAATTGTGTTGAAAGCAGAAGCTATGCTATGCTTTACAAAGTACAACGTTTTTTACATAATTACTGGGTACTTTTATTTTAGTTCACCTTATCTTGCAATATCCTAGAGTTCCTGGGTAAAGTCCAGTATTATAGGGGTGTTACGGTGTGAAATGAGCAGTGACTAACTCTAACCATAACCCCTTGTAACTTTGAAGTTTCCCCAGGAACTCTTGAATTTCCCAAGATGGGGTGAACTTAAATAAAAGTACCAATTCCTGACACTGAACTGTCAACTGAATGTTAGAAGAAAAAAAACACATAGTGCACACAGACAACAATTACTTGGGTTGGTTTGGAATGTCCTGTAGAGGGGTACACAACCTGTCGAAGAAGGTAACTAAATTATATCCCATAACTCCCTGTGTAGGGTTCCTGGCTCCATTGTGGGGGAAAAGAAGCAATGAGCATGTCGTAGGAGTCGACTAATTAGGAGCTTCCTTCAAAGTCAGTGTAACTGCCCGACTTACAGCTGGTAAACAAGATGAAGAAGAAGAATATCCCGTAACTCACTGCATGGCTCTGGTGTATTATGTCAGTACAGCCTAAATCTGTTTCTCCGCTTACCTTTAAAAAGTTTTTGTGGGGATAATGAATAACTTCATCCCTGGCCTTAATTGGTCTCAAAAGTCACACTCTCAATTGCCGTGGGCTGTCTCATGCCTCCTCATGGCACAGTTGTGACAATATAACACTATCATTTTTAAAGATGCCAATGAATATCTTATATATATATATATATATATATATATCCGCTGTGTGGGTTCCGGGGCCCCATTGTGGGGAAAACAAGAATAGACCCACTGCCTCCCCGAAAGCATGTCGTAAGAGTCGACTAACTGGGGAGCTTCCTTTGAAGTCGGAGTGCATCTGCCGGAGAGGCAAGGAACCAACAGTCTGTATTCAAGAGAATGAGATCTGTAAAACTGATGCACACGCAACACTCAGTTTCTGGAGCAGGACTGCAGTTCAGTAGTGGACAAGCAAACAGAACCTTCCACCAGAGTTTACAGCTAGTGAACGCGAAGAAGAAGAAGATATATATATATAAGCACCCTGGTTCATGATCTTAACACGACCTAATCAACAGCCACTTGCATATATGAAAACCACACAAGTATTTGAGAAAAACTGCTCAAAGGATAGCATTTATTGTATGTGCATTAATTTAAGTAGCTCAGTAACACATTTGATTGTGTATTTTAATAATAAGTTTTGTCTTTTATTTCAGGTGAACAGAAAAGACATGAGAAAATCATCTTTTGGGGGGCGTCCCTCAATTTCTGGGGCGCCAGTCAGGGTTCTCAATGAAAATGCAATGAACAGAGGCAGAGCATCATCTGCCTCTGAAGACCGCCTGTCATATGGTAGCCGCATGTCTCTAGGAAGATCAAAGTTGCCAGTGTTGAATCCTCGGAAATCAACAGCTTCCTCATCAAATGCATTTTCTTTCCTTCCAAAATCTGGGTGTGTATGTTTGTATCATATTGAACGGCATCATTGAACAGTCTGCCTTATTGTTAGTTAGGTGCCCTGAAGTCATATTTTTTTTTCAAATTTGGTACATTGACACACAATCTCAATAAACTCCTGACATTAGCTCCAAAAGTTAGATATGCTACACTGTGATCCGTGTATGGGTTCCTTGGCCTAATTTAGGGGCAGGGGTGGTAGATCCACCGCCCTGCCCCAGTTAGTGGTTTGTTGAAAGTTTTTTTGTTTGTTGTTGCAAAAAGGCACATATATCTTAACCTAGCTGTAAACCACATCACAATGTGCCAACTGCATTTTTAAGGATTAACAAAAAAGCAGCCACTGTATTGTGAATATGCCAAATAACTGCTTGTTACATTGTTCTCTCTCGCTCACAAAATATACATATGTTGCGATAAGTTTCCTGTCATTAATTTTAATTACAATTTATAAAGTAAATAACTATGGCATGAAGAGAAGTTGACATCCCCGTGTAGGTTCCGGGGCCCTATTACAGGGACAACAAGAATAGACCCACCTCCTACCCAAAAGCATGTTGTAAGATTGGACTAATTGGGAGCTTCCTTCGAAGTAGGAGTGCATCTGCCTGAGAGGCAAGGAACTAGCAGTCTTCACACAAATGAGTTAGATCTGTAAAACGAATGCACACGCAGGAGTCAGATTATGGAACAGGACTGCAGTTCAAAAGTGGATGAACAAACATAACTTTTTGCCAGAGTTTACAGCTGGTGAACGCGAAGAAAAAGAAGTTGACAGAATTACAAGACAAGTACCGACTGAGGAAGTGAGGACGGCCAAGAAAACCTTTGAGGCAATGTTTGATGAGAGAAGCTAAAAGTGCTGGGCTGAATTTCTTCCATGATAACAAAATTATTGCACAGGATAAAAATAGGAGAGCGACTTGACAATGAGCCCTACGTGACATACATGGCACAACAGGGGTATTTGTTGCAATTTATTGCTGATCTTGTATTTTCCATTGTATTATTAATGTCTAATTTACCTTTTCTTATGATCTGCTTTGTAGGATCTTTTTGTCTTTTCTATGTTGCTTTTATAATATAACTTCTAACATGAGCATTTCTCAATAAAAAGGCACTACTTCAGTATTTTATTTTTCTTTGCTCACACTGTCCTGCAGCAGTTGTGTCACAATATTCAGTAAATGGCTGGTAGTTGGTTTGCGCTTGTGCATGGCAGGCTTGTCGTAACTGACCGCTTCCACCAATGACAAGTCACATTTCTGGTGGTGACTATTAGTGTTGGCATCTCTAGCATCTGCCTTATGCATTTACTGCATGTGCATGTTTCTGGATTTTGCTGGCACTAATTACATGTCCACTACTTTTCAAATAGGACATGAGGGGCTTTTCATGTGATATTCAGGGCAGTTATGAAGTCACATGTTTGCTGTGAAGTTGAAACAACTACAGAGTACTACAGCTACTACTACAATTACTACTGTTACTAGTTCTACTACTACTGCTGCTGCTAGGTTTCATTAATTAATGTCTAGCATTCACATCCATCCAAAACAAGTAGCACACAACTGTTCAGTTCAGAAATGTTTGTCTGTCATCTGCATATGATGAGTCTCTATAGGTTCCAGGTCCTAGTTGGGGGGGGGGGGGGGGGGGGGGGATAGACATGCGGGGGGGGGGGGGGGTGGGGGGGGGGGGGGGGAGGTGGGGGGGGGGGGGGGGGGGGGGGGGGGGGGGGGGGGGGGGGGGGGGGGGGGGGGGGGGGGGGGATAGACATGCTGCCTCCCTTCCTGCAGCAAGCATGTAACAAAAAGGCAACTAATGACTGGTTTGCTGAAATCAGAAGTGTTAGGCTGAAATGCACAGATAGTTTAGTCTAGCCTTGATGTCTGTAATTTTTATCCTAGCTGTCTGTCATCTTTAGCCTAGCTGTCTGTCATCTTTAGCCTAGCTGTCTGTAATTTTTAGCCTAGCTGTCTGAAATCTTTAGCCTAGCTGTCTCATCTTTAGCCTAGCTGTCTGAAATCTACAACGCAATGGGCAAACCACCCATTGAAGTGTGAATGCAGAGGATGAAGAAGAACTAAGAATTTGTCAGTATGTAAAGCTTTAGTTCTATCTCAACTATTGTGATAACTTTCTACCCAATGTCCAGGCGACCATCCAGTGGCATTGGTGTGCGAGGAAGAACTGACACACCAAAGGATCCCAGGCCAGTCTCAGATAAGCGGTTCCAAGCTCAGTGTATCAAAAAGCTTCTGGAGGTATATGTTCTTTTAATTGTTTTATTTCTTTTATATGGCTCTCGTACCTTATAAACTCAGTGTGCTAGAACAGAATACCCTGCCTACAGGTGTACCATCTGCAGTTGATAGTCAGTGGCATCTCATCTGGGTATCAACAAACCATGGAGGTTTCAAAAGTTGGCACCTTTAGTGGTACTGGCATCTTTATTCAAAAGGATACAATAAAACTGACTTGTTCTATGGAATGTTGGGTTTTTGTCTTGGTCACTTTTCTGTGTGACCATATAGAACATTATGCTTAGTGATCTTCCAAGATGCATTCCCTGTCATTATAGACCCTCTTCTTTAAGATGTGCTCTTATCTTTTTCTTTTGTCATCTCACTGATACCAGGTTGTAGCCCAGTGTTGTGGTTTTCTGTATTTGTCTTACGCTTCTTGGGTGCCTTGTGTGATGGATTTGTTCATCTTTTTGCGAGTTTCATCTACACCATTTATCCCCATCTTTCTTGGTCTTCCTCTCGACTTCCTCCCAGATGTTTTACTGTAACAAGTTTAATATGCAGTTGGGTCTGGCTGCATTCTCACTAGAAGGCTGAACCATTTCATTCTATCAGTAATATCCGGGGGTGGGGGGGGGGGGAACTACTACTGACTGGCTTGACTTTTCTGCATTAACTGTCAGGTGGAAATATTTGTTGCCTTCAGTTACAACCTTTTGCAGATAATAAGTAAAGGTCCCAGTTCTTTGCCTCATGGCATATGGTGCTAGTTCCCATATTATCATTGAGCAGTTGGTATGTCATGTGGTAAAATCATGCCTTCCATCTTTGCTTCCCAGGATATTTCCTGGTACATATTTTAGGTGTAGACAGTTTGGCAGGAAAGTTCTATTTTTAAAAGTACCTTGATGTGATTCAAACCTATGGCAACTAGTGCACATGTAAAATGTCTGCCACGCTGTTACTAGGGTTCCAAGTGAAGGAACCATATTATGGCATTGCTTGGTATAGAATTATTTTGTGGAGGGTGTAGTACAGTATTTGATTTAAAGCATGTATTTACTCAAAGATAATCACAGATTGTGTTGAACTTTTCCCTGATGACAGTTCCTGATCAGCAAGAACTACCCACATCCAATCTCACAGACATTACTCATGTCCCCTAACAGCAAAGATGTGTTCAAAATATTTGAGGTATGTTCAGCTGTTTGATCATGTATACAAGAAAGGGTTGTGTATACTTTTATCATCATCATCATGTGTCATGCCAGTAAGTGCAGGCTGTCATGTTTGTGCTATCCCATATGATTACCAGAAACACCGATCAGGTCAGTGTTCATCTCACCCCATCACATCCTTGTGGTTAAACTATCCAGTTATTCATCTCTTTGCCTTCCCCCTGCTTTCTTTCCATCAGTCTTGCCAGGTGTGACCAAGTTCTCCAGTCCATGCTAACATGTTTGAAAATCACTGACCTTCTACATCTTATTTTTCGAATGAGTTTATGGTTTTCATCAATCTTGAGGAAGACTGCCTCGATTTTTTTAAATATCCGTACTTTATGACATGTCAAATATTGTCGCTAAAGTAGTGAATGTGCCATGCATCACTTCAGGTTCTACAGGGGGCATTACAGTTGAGCATCAGGATGGAAATGTTTATGTCATTGTTACATAATCACAGACATTTTGTCAAATTCACCTCCAAGAAACTAGAGAAGGAAACGTTGCAGAAGAATGTCCACAGCTACCCTGCAGCCATTTCAACACTAAAATTATGCCGGTATATTTTTATTATTGGTGGTTTTTTCATACCTGAATTCTTTTTTTCTTTTTAAGTAAGGGAAATAATTGCCAAGTCCAAATGGAGTAGAGAATTAACTGCTTTCTTTCTCGTGGAGCATGATTAATGTGGCTTTGTTGACTTAGCTATGGGGAGCAAAGTGAGGGTCAAAAAAGATTATTATGATGTAATCACATCATCATTATCAAGTGTCTTGCCAACTGGGAGATCTTGCCTCTCCAAAATCTGCAATCATCACCATGTATCATTTTGTGTGCTGACACTCCTCCATGCCATTATAAAAGGCCTTCCAGAATCTTCTGGCACATGTACTTGTATAGATATTTCCTGCTATTGTAACCAGTGGTTCATTTATTATACCAAGTTTATGATTTCTACACAATGTAGTGAAAACAATCATATTTAATTCCTTAAACTTATGTTTTGTTTTTCTTCTTACAGTTCATTTATGGCAAGTTTTCCCCCGGATATAAGCAGGTGCAGAAGATGGAAGAGGAAATACCCAGGATACTCAAAATTTTGGGATATCCATTTGTGATCCAAAAGACTCACATGTTTTCAGTGGGTAGTAATCATGTGTGGCCGCATGTGTTGGTGGCGTTTATATGGATGGTTGACCTGCTCCAGGTGGGTCTACTGGTGTTTGTGTTAGTTCAGATCAGGCTATTTGACTGTTTACTCAGGGTCCAGAATGTTGACAATGGGGACCATCACAGGCCTGAGGCCCAGCATAGAGAGATCATTAATACAATATAATTTTCAGATTATCCATGGACAACTTGCTAGGCCTGTGCTGGCCAGATTCAGCCATCAGTTGAATGACCCTGGTTTAGATTCAGGACTCTGGTGAATTTTCTCTCATATCTTTTTTATCTTATGCAGTTCACTCAGTGTCTCCCCAAATGCACGTGAGCGCGCACACCCCCCCCCCCCCCCCCCTTCTTATTGACCTCTATCTCCAGGTCTCTTCTCAATTGTTTTTGGGTGTCCCTCTTCATTGTTTGGAGTCTGTGGCTTATGCCTTGCAAACACACTTTGTATTGCAGTGATGCCAGCTTCGATCCTAGCTACAGGCTGTTTGGCAGCAGACTTCCTTGCATTGTTTTTGACAGTGGTAAAGAGAGCAGACTGCTCAGAAAGCAGTGGCAAATGTCAATTTGCCTAGTCAAATCAAACACAGCCACAAAATACCGAAGTTGGTTTTGCAAAGTCCTGCAAAGGATACATACTTAACTTGTTTTCATTGAACAGTGGAGCTAGTATGGTCTACCACCTTGAGTAAGGACATGGAGATGATCATTGCAGAGTTGAACTGTTTGTTGATAAAGTAACCAGGGCAGTACAGTCTCAGCCTGTATTTGGGTAGTAGAGTCTCAGCCTGTATTGGACAGTAGAGTCTCAGCCTGTATTGGACAGTAGAGTCTCAGCCTGTATTGGACAGTAGAGTCTCAGACTGTATTGGACAGTAGAGTCTCAGACTGTATTGGACAGTAGAGTCTCAGCCTGTATTGGACAGTAGAGTCTCAGCCTGTATTGGACAGTAGAGTCTCAGCCTGTATTGGACAGTAGAGTCTCAGCCTGTATTGGGTAGTAGAGTCTCAGCCTGTAGTAGAGTCTCAGGACAGTCTGCCTGTATTGGGTCTCAGCCTGTATTGGGTAGTAGAGTCTCAGCCTGTATTGGGTAGTAGAGTCTCAGCCTGTATTGGGTAGTAGAGTCTCAGACTGTATTGGGTAGTAGAGTCTCAGCAGTAGAGTCTCAGCCTGTATTGGACAGTAGAGTCTCAGACTGTATTGGACAGTAGAGTCTCAGCCTGTATTGGGCAGTAGTAGAGTCTCAGCCTGTGACAGTAGAGTCTGGACAGTATTGGGCAAGTCCTGTCTCAGACACATGGATAGATGTGGATAGCAAGCACTTATTGGACAGAGTCTCCATATTACAGTAGAGACATTGACAGTGACTATCTCACTGTATGGACTGAGTCTCAGCCTGTATTGGGCAGTAGCAGTGTATGAGTCCACAATGAACCACACTTCCATTTTGCTGGACTACAGAATCTGACATTTTGCAGTGTGGAACAATCAGCAATTTGCTGGATACAGCAAGCATTTTGAAAACTACCTATTTGAAAACTACCTATGCTGGTGGAAGTTACAACGATAGATGAATCAACTTAAGTAGGGCTGCAAGATCATACCACACAGTGTTGTGTATTCGTAATCTAGAGCAGACTTTATAAATAAAGACATAACCTGCAGTACTGAACAATATGATGGCTATTTACAAAAAACAGGGTACTTGTCTTATTGTTCAACTTTCTTGTTCTATCAGTAATTGATTGCCAAACGAGCATTTTGAGACAGTGTGCTTCACAGTGTAAAAAACTTAAGTACAGCATGAAGGAATAAATGCTCTTGGGTTGTACATGAGGCATGCCTGTCAGAATGATGTATTACATCGATGAAGCTTAGACTCACAACAGTACGTACCAGGCTTTGTCAGTCACAAATGATGATAAACAGCCTTTACATTGCTACTAACATTTTCAAAGGAAGCCCAAAGCTGAATGAAAAGAGGAAGATATTGGATGTTATGGGTAGAATGAACTAACTTTATTTTCAAAGGGTTACAAATTAGGCACGCAGGCCTGTCATACATTCGGCCCTTCCAAACTCCCATCTTTCACACAGCAGTTGTATCTCATCAATAAAGCATGTTATTTTCATGTAATAATATGCATATTATGAATATCAAGTCAAAAACAAAAGCATGGGTGGTAAAATATGTGCGCACGTTCGCACGCGAACACACATACACACGCAAACCCATTCACTCACTTACACACATGGGCACCCAATGCACACATACATACATATATACACACACACTCATACACGCAGTCACACTCTAAAACACACACGCATACAACACCGACACATACAGACACAAACACATACATACACACACATAGCCGCACAAAAAGGCCATACAAACACACACACTGACGCACACAAATGTAAACCCATACAGACACATACATACACACGTGTAGCATTACAAAAAGACCTATACAAACACACACAACAGCGCACACAGACATAAACCCCCACAGACACACACATGCAGTCACAGGCAGAAGATCCAGTGAGGCAGGCTTTCTCAGTCTAGCAGATACAGTAGGGCATGAATGAGATTGACAGGAGCAGACACAAGGAGGTGCACTAGCTTATCACACTGGGCAGAAAATATAGAGAGTGGTCTTACAGACTGGCAAAATTAGAAGTATAGTTGCTGTTTCATGAAAATGCAGAAATGACAATTGTCTATAGTGATTGTTTTGTTGCATGACGTGGACGGAAATCTTGCAAGCAGTTCTCAGCTCGTTTAAGGACAGGTCCCTTTTACTACCGATCTATTTCTAGATTCGATAATTTTTCTGGTTTTCCTCATCATTCCATCTGGAATAACTATCCACAAGGTCTGATCACGATTGGCTTGTTATTTTTAGTTTGTGACGCATTGTTTTCACACAAGGAACACATCCTTATAATTCGTTGAAACTCTACTGTTAGAAACTAGAGACAGAGAAAAGAAGCAGAAGAAATTTTGTTTTGTCGATTTTTATAAAATAAAAATCCAGGAGGTTGAAACCTATGACAACTGAGCACACAGGCAAGCCTGATGGCCAGGGCAACAGTGCAGCTGTCAAGTTAGTAAAAAGCATATTTTTATGTGTGATCGCGAAATAGAAGAAGACTACTAGTAATTGCTTTTCCGAGGAGAGCTAACTGCCCCCTACATGTCTGGCTGCAGTACCAGGCGTGACCACACATGGCAGTCTTTAATTCACTTGCTGCCAATGAGATAACTAAAAAGAGTTGCACAGTGATAGAGTGGGGCCTCACTATATTGTATTCCCAAAGATAGCATTGGATGCACATATCAGTTGCAGTTAGTCTACATTGTAGAACGGCCCATTCATTTTGATGGGATAACTAGTCAATGATGATCATTGTTGAACAGCCCATTCATTATCTGCCTAAGTGGCAGGCACCAAACAAATGAGCCAGTGAAACAGATGTTCATGCAAAACTCAGGCCCTGGCACAACACCAAAGTTCAAATTGACGAAAAACCCAGACTTTCAGCTGAAGCTTACAGTCGGTGAACAAAGAAGAAGAAGAAGTCAACTAATTCACTAATCAGTGCCTAAGTCAGGCACCCCAAATGATCATTGAAAACAGATGTTCATGCCCCCCCCCCGTGATGGGATACAGTTCAGTGATGAAAACCCAGACTTCAGCTGAAGCTTGTCGGTGAATCAGCCCCCCCCCCCCCCCCCCCCCCCTGGGTCAAAGATAGTTGTATTCAAGAGAATGAGATCTGTAAAACTGATGCACACGCAAAACTCAGGTTTTGGAGTTCAGTAGTGGACAAGCAACCAGAACTTTCCGCCAGAGTGTACAGCTGGTGACTGCAAAGAAGAAGAAGTTGTCTTCTGTCAGTCAGTTACAGTGGACGTGCTGTTTGAAATCTGTCCATTCAGACATATTCTGTTTCCAGGTCTTTATTGGTCTGTTTCTTCACTAACAAACCCTCTTAAATTCTTTGAAGTAGCCAGCATGTACGCATGCAACAACATCATATCTGGTGCTTTCTTGTGTGTTACCTAATTCTGCTGCAGGCACTAAATTTCCTACTGACCCGTGTGAGTCCCAGGGTTCCATTTTGGAGAACAAAGAAGACACCCACAAGGATGTCATAAGAGGCAACTAATTAAGGGTGTTTTCTTCAGTCAGTGTGCATCTACCTGAGAGGCAAAAAACCCAACTGTAGGCATAGAAATAAGCCTGATCTGTAAAATGGATGTGTCTATAAAACTCAAGTTATGGATCAAGACCATAGTCCAGCAATTTTCACTAGAGTTTAGAGGTGAACACATAGAAGGAGAAGCTAGTATAGTATAGAAGGAGAAGCTAGTATAGTATAGAAGGAGAAGCTAGTATAGTATAGAAGGAGAAGCTAGTATAGTACAGAAGGAGAAGCTAGTATAGTATAGAAGGAGAAGCTAGTATAGTACAGAAGGAGAAGCTAGTATAGTATAGAAGGAGAAGCTAGTATAGTATAGAAGGAGAAGCTAGTATAGTATAGAAGGAGAAGCTAGTATAGTATAGAAGGAGAAGCTAGTATAGTATAGAAGGAGACGCTAGTATAGTACAGAAGGAGAAGCTAGTATAGTACAGAAGGAGAAGCTAGTATAGTACAGAAGGAGAAGCTAGTATAGTACAGAAGGAGAAGCTAGTATAGTATAGAAGGAGAAGCTAGTATAGTACAGAAGGAGAAGCTAGTATAGTACAGAAGGAGAAGCTAGTATAGTACAGAAGGAGAAGCTAGTATAGTACAGAAGGAGAAGCTAGTACAGTATAGAAGGAGAAGCTAGTATAGTACAGAAGGAGAAGCTAGTATAGTACAGAAGGAGAAGCTAGTATAGTACAGAAGGAGAAGCTAGTATAGTACAGAAGGAGAAGCTAGTATAGTACAGAAGGAGAAGCTAGTATAGTATAGAAGGAGAAGCTAGTATAGTACAGAAGGAGAAGCTAGTATAGTACAGAAGGAGACGCTAGTATAGTATAGAAGGAGGAGCTAGTATAGTACAGAAGGAGAAGCTAGTATAGTACAGAAGGAGAAGCTAGTATAGTACAGAAGGAGAAGCTAGTATAGTACAGAAGGAGAAGCTAGTATAGTACAGAAGGAGAAGCTAGTATAGTACAGAAGGAGAAGCTAGTATAGTACAGAAGGAGAAGCTAGTATAGTACAGAAGGAGAAGCTAGTATAGTACAGAAGGAGAAGCTAGTATAGTACAAAAGGAGAAGCTAGTATAGTACAAAAGGAGAAGCTAGTAAGTATAGTACAGAAGGAGAAGCTAGTATAGTATAGAAGGAGAAGCTAGTATAGTATAGAAGAAGCTAGTATAGTATAGAAGGAGAAGTTAGTATAGTATAGAAGAAGCTAGTATAGTATAGAAGGAGAAGCTAGTATAGTACAGAGATATTGTTTATTTTGATGCTTTTCAGATTCTGTTTGATTACTATGAGAAAACCTACAATGCATTCTTGGCAGGAGCAGACTCGTACGACACCTTCACTTCTGATCTGGAAGCCATTCTATGTGAGTAGACACATGTATTGTGGGAAATGAGTTTACGCTAAGTTCTTTTTTACCGGTGTGCAGAAACTGCTTATCTACGTGTATGCAGGTGACCTGTCATTGAAATGCCTGTAGGTGGCCTATCATCTGTAAGTATATACTGTAGGTGACCTGTCATTTATATGCCTACAGGTGACCTGTCATCAATATGCCTACATATGTTCTGTCGACTGTTTTCTTACAGTTGCAGTATAGCTGTCATCTGTATGCTTACAATTGACCTGTCATCTACATGTATGCTGGTGACCTGTCATCTATATGTATGTGGGTGACATATCTTCTACATCTATACTAATGACCTGTCCTCTACGTGTATGCAGATGACCTGTCATTAACCATGACAGACCGCTGTACCGATTTTTTGGTCATTTCTGAATCTACTTCTGTACCTTACTTTGCCTTGTAGGTGGACAAAAAAGTGCATCACAAACTAAAAATGACCAACCAGTTGTGGTAAAAACTTATTGCAAATTTCTGCCCCCATATGTTTGAACTGACTTTGCGTGGTTTAACATGAAACAATTGTGAAGATTCACAATGAAATGAGTGGCTGATGGACCAAGCACTTCAACAGGAAAGTGAAGTAGGTCTAGGCTTCTCACAGTCCAACAGGTGATCAATACTTTGGTTGATTCAGACTGAGGAGTCAGCATTTCATCAAGAATATGTTTCCAGTTGAAGTGACACAGACAGTGAGAGCTGGAGTGATGAGGAGAATATGGAAGCTTATAGATCTAGAACTAGACCCTCATCCGGAAGTGCTTACACAGACAGTCCATGCAAGAAGGGGAAGAGCAACATCTGGTGCTCACTTTGCAAGAAGTGCTTGTGTGTGCTACAGGCAGCTAAGGGAACCACAGCCCATGTGATCCAGTCCAAACAAGGAATGAAGTTCCATCTCACTGTAGCAGCACACTCTGGCAGTAATGTAGAGACCATGTGATCCAGTCCAAACAAGGAATGAAGTTCCATCTCACTGTAGCAGCACACTCTGGCAGTAATGTAGAGACATGTGATCCAGTCCAAACAAGGAATGAAGTTCCATCTCACTGTAGCAGCACACTCTGGCAGTAATGTAGAGACCATGTGATCCAGTCCAAACAAGGAATGAAGTTCCATCTCACTGTAGCAGCACACTCTGGCAGTAATGTAGAGACCATGTGATCCAGTCCAAACAAGGAATGAAGTTCCATCTCACTGTAGCAGCACACTCTGGCAGTAATGTAGAGACCATGTGATCCAGTCCAACAAGGAATTTCCATCTCACTGTAGCAGCACACTGCAGTAATGTAGAGACCATGTGATCCAGTCCAAACAAGGAATGAAGTTCCATCTCACTGTAGCAGCACACTCGGGCAGTAATGTAGAGACCATGTGATCCAGTCCAAACAAGGAATGAAGTTCCATCTCACTGTAGCAGCACACTCGGGCAGTAATGTAGAGACCATGTGATCCAGTCCAAACAAGGAATGAAGTTCCATCTCACTGAGCAGCACACTGTGTTGTAGAGACCATGGAGCAAGGAATGAGTTCTCTTCACTGTAGCCCACTCCCCACCCCCCACCCCCCCACCCCCTTTCTTCTGTGAAGAAAAATGCACTTCAACTATTCTCTGAGATTCCTCTTATACCTATTTCTGAAGTGTTTAATATCTCTCCAACCTCAGCAAGCGAAATTCATCTAGCTTGGGCTGAGTCAGTAATCAAATTCTTTGAATTGCTGCACCAGTTATTCCTTAACGTTTATATACAACCAGTGTCTTATCAAGAACTAGTTTCCATCAGCATTTAAAGCTGCCAAAGTGTATCCTCTCTACTGAAACCTGGCTCAGCAGACAACAACACCCCAAGTATAGACCCATTTTTTTCCTATCATCACTATCAAAGCCGTTAGAGGAACACATACACTGAAAAACACTGCAGCATTTAACTAACAATAACCTGACAATCGAGATAGTCAATCAGGCTTCAGCCCTAAATAATCTTGACAAAACGGACTGAAAACTGGCAATTGGATGTCAACAAAGGTCACATTTGTGGAGAAGTTCTTCTGGACTTTGAGAAGCCATTAATGTGGTAGATTATGATATTCTAATTAATAAATTAAAAACCTTGAAAACTAATAATAATTTAATCAAATTAATGCAGTCATTTTTTATCTGATAGACAATACGTAGTGTTCTTTAATAGCCGTCTGTTAGAATCCAGTCAGTTTTATGTATAGGCATGTCCCATGGATCGATTCTAGGTCACTTATTTTTGCCACAAATATTAACAACCTTCCGTTACAACTCAGTATAACATGCAAATTATTTGCTGTACAATATATACTAGTTGTGAGATTTGTAATGAGTTTGGAAGCTCTTCACAGAAAGAGGTATTTAATAATCTTATTGAATGAGTTTGGATAGCTCTGCACATGAAAAATTACACAAATAATCTAAATTAATAGAGCAAATATTAGCACAAAATACTCCAAATTACCAGTTAATTAACTCCAGGTCTTATAATTGACAGATTTAAATCTAATTGTACAAAAAACAGCTGGATGGTCCCTACATTTACTACATTTGCCTAAACCTAGAGCCAAATTCATTCATAAAATCTTATCTCAAAATACTCCAAATTACCTTTTCCGGCCGATTAAATCTAATTGTACAAACAGCATGCACCTAAATTTATTACATTTGCCTAAACCTAGCTTATATAAAACAAGTTTAGCATTTTCTTCTGCTCATTTATGGAACCAGCTTCCACAAAAAATACAGTCCCTTTTCTTTTAACTACAAACTTTTTCAGTTCATGCTTACCAGTGATTGTATGCTACCCTAAATGTAGTTAATAATCCATGTTGCATTATCAGTTTATAATTAGATAAGTTGTGTATGATATATATGTATGTGTGATATGTATGTTTGCATAAGTGTGTGTATATGTGTGTTTGTGTATGTATGAGTGTTTGTATACATGTGCATTTGTGTATAAATGGGCATTTGTGTATGTGTGGTCATTTGTGTATGGGTATATTTGAGTGTGTATGTATGAATGAGAGCCTATGTGTGTGTGTGCACACTTGTTGTGTGTGTACATGCATTCTACCATCCATGCTATTGTGTTTTTTCTTGATATTCATAGTATGCCTATTGTTATAGTGTGAACATAACATGCTTTATTGATAAAATGCAGCTGCTGTGTGAAAGATGGGTATTTGTTTGTCCCCCCCCCCCCCCCCCCCCACCCACCTAATTCTCTCTCTCTCTCTTTCACCTTATTTGCTCCAAAGAAAAGGTGACACTAATATGTTTTGAACAAAGAATGTAGGTCTTTTCTTTTATATCATCCTATCTCGGAGGCTTTAAGATTTCCTAGGAAGTTCCTGTGTATGTTCAATAATCTAGGGTGGTTGTGTCATGACTTCATTTGGTGTTCATACAGTGTGCGAAAAAGTGTATGCAGCAGGTCGAAAAACTGTCTTCCACGCGAAAGTACGCAAATTTCTGTTGTGTGAATGACTAAGCAACTAATTTTCTTTCTGTGTGGATGTGTCGGTTGTTTTCGGCATTTATTGTGTCATCATTTTTCAGTGTGTGTTACTTTCGTTCTTTCATGTGAAATTAATACCGACTAAGCCTAACACCTCTGTACTCTTAGGAATTCTTCACAGAATTATAGAGGCCGCATGATGGGATGAAATAAAATAAAATAACCAAGAATGCTGCAGAAGCTTACTTAAGATAATAATGAGCAGTCCTGTAGTAAAATACCTGGTGAAACTATGGGGATGACTGCAGTCAAGCTAATACAATGAATTCCAGAGAAATTTGACTAAAAAGCTCAACAAAATGGGAAAGAGGAAAACGTGCACAAAACAACACAACGTAACGTTTCGGCCAGGCAGCCTTTTTCAAACACAAGTGAAATACACAAACGAGGAATGGAGAGTAAAATACCTGTAGACAGATCACACAGATATCCTCTTTCTTGCTGGCTACCTGACGCTATCATCCTCTTTGCACGTCAAACAATTCAGCCTAGGTGTGGTAATATCTTCTCCTTGACTGTATCCGGCCTTCATCACTGACTGACTTTGTGAGGTGCCGTTGATTCCATGGGTGGGACTGTAGTCTGTAGTTCAGTGTTACCTTCCCATCATTGTTGTACTGTATACAATCTGTTCTCACATTATTACAGGTCAGAAATACCAGATTGGCAATATAGATGCTGTACAAGCTGAGAATGCCAGATTGGAAGAGGAAGTAGGACTAATTGATCAAGTGGAAGTAAGTTGGCACTAGACACAGGTTGTGAGTCATGAGGTTTCATTGTGACAAGACACAGAGCCTGGTATTTATTTGTGACAAGACATGTATAGTGTGAGTCATGAGGTTTCATTGTGACAAGACACAGAGCCTGGTATTTATTTGTGACAAGACATGTATAGTGTGAGTCATGAGGTTTCATTGTGACAAGACACAGAGCCTGGTATTTATTTGTGACAAGAAATGTATAGTGTGAGTCATGAGGTTTCATTGTGACAAGACACAGAGCCTGGTATTTATTTGTGACAAGACATGTATAGTGTGTCATGAGGTTTCATTGAGACAAGACACAGAGCCTGATGTTTATTTGTGACAAAAAATGTATAATGTCGAGTCATGAGGTTTCATTGAGACAAGACACAGAGCCTGATATTTATTTGTGACAAGACATGTATAGTGAGTCATGATGTTTAATTATGACATGACATGGGGCGTGGTATAAAAAAGTTTACATGTGACAAGACATGCTCTATAATAGTTTATTTTGACAAAGCATGGTTTGTGAGTTGTTAAATTTAATTGTGACGAGACATGGTTTGTGAGTTGTGATATTTAATTGTGACGAGACATAGTTTATGAGTTGTGATATTTAATTGTGACAAGACATGGGGTTTGTGAGTTGTGACATGGACAAGCGTCATGAATTTGTTTGTGACATGATATGGGTGACTTATTTTGTGTTGTGACAAGACACAATATTTTATCCCCATGGTACATTAGGTTGATAATTTATTGTTGCAATGCATGGAATAAAACTGTATTGTCATTATAGAGGGGGGTGATATTTCATTGTTTTGACTGATGAACATTTTTCACCGAGAGATGGACTTGGGATACTTGATTGAGATAGTGCATAAGATTTTATTCTGAAAATGCACTGGGATCTTTATTGTGTGACAATACATGAGGATGATATTTTGTTGTGAAGGTGCATGGGGATTGTATTTAAGTGTAACAATGCATGAGGATGATATTTTATTGTGATGATACAAGAGGACAGTATTTCTTCTTCTTCTTCGCATTCACCAGCTGTAAACTCTGGCGGAAAGTTCTGATTGTTCATCCACTTTTGGACTGCAGTTCTGTTCCAGAACCTGAGTGTTGCGTGTGCATATGTTTTACAGATCTGACTCATTTGTATGCAGACTGCTGGTTTCTTGCCTCAGGCAGATGCATTCCGACTTGGAAGAAAGCTCCCAATTAGTCGACTCTTTCTACATGTTTTCGGGCAGACAGTGGTTCTGTTCTTGTTTTCCCTATAATAGGACCCCGGAACCCACAGGAGGAGGATGGTATTTAATTGTGATGACACATAAGAGATTGCATTGTGAAATTACGTGGGAATTTTATTTCATTGTAACACTACATGATAAAAGTATTTTATTATGACCAGCGTATTTTATTATTACAAGAGAGAGGCACGTTTTTGTAATCTCTAAAAATGTGTATTTGTACAAAAAATACGAACCACCTGTTTGGAAATGAGTTTTAAATGTAGAGACTGGCTGAGGGGCAGAGAACGAAGATATGCTAGTCAACTTCCACTGAGCACGGACGTTGAGCATGGAGACACTGAGGTGATTGTTTGCTTTGGAGGACAGAGCACGAATGGGTCTGATTGATGTGCTGGAAAGTCAAAACAGACAACAAGAAGCAAGATTATCATGTACTCATGCCTAACCCTGTCACTCCATATCACTCTCTCTGTAAAAACATACTTGTTACATTTACTAGTATTTAATTTTTTTTGTTATAATATAATAAGTGCAGTTTTCTGGTTAGTTGACTGAGTTCTTGGTTGTTTGCCTGTTGTCAAGGAAAATCAGAAGCAGCTCAAGGAGAGAATTGAAATGTCTCGGCATGATAAGATGGTGATGGATAGATACATCAGCAATCTGCACCAGCATAAGGCCATGCTGGAGGGGGAGCTTAAGAAACGTATTGATGAATATGCAATCCTCAGTAAGTTGTTGATTGTGTTGTCATTAATACACCATTGCTTACATTATTGACAGCAGTGAGAGGGCAGTCACAGCTACAAACAGTGGTGAGAATTCAGTTACAGCAGCAGACAGTGGTGAGAGTTCAGTCACAGCTGCAAACAGTGGTGACAGGGCAGTCACAGCTGCAAACAGTGGTGACAGGGCAGTCACATCTGCAAATAGCGGTGAGAGGGCAGTCACCATTGTCTGCAGCTGTGACTGCCCTCTTACCACTGTTTGCAGCTGTGACTGTCCTCTCACCACTGTTTGCAGCTTTATCTGCCCTCCACCAAAGCTGTTGGCACAGTGTGGGTTGTCAGATTTGGTAAACACTGCGTAACATTGGGGGTTTACAGAAATGATATATTGTGCCATACTTATATTTGTATAGACCAGTCGGTACATGATCAGTGATGTGGTCAACTATAGACCAGTCGGTACATGATCTGTGATGTGATCAACTATAGACCAGTTGGTACATGATCTGTGATGTGGTCAACTATAGACCAGTCGGTACATGATCTGTGATGTGGTCAACTATAGACCAGTCGGTACATGATCAGTGATGTGGTCAACTATAGACCAGTCGGTACATGATCTGTGATGTGATCAACTATAGACCAGTCAGTACATGATCTGTGATGTGGTCAAATATAGACCAGTCGGTACATGATCTGTGATGTGGTCAACTATAGACCAGTCAGTACATGATCGGTGATGTGGTCAACTATAGACCAGTCGGTACATGATCTGTGATGTGGTCAACTATAGACCAGTCAGTACATGATCGGTGATGTGGTCAGCTATAGACCAGTCAGTACATGATCGGTGATGTGGTCAACTATAGACCAGTCGGTACATGATCGGTGATGTGGTCAACTATAGACCAGTCGGTACATGATCGGTGATGTGGTCAACTGTAGACCAGTCGGTACATGATCTGTGATGTGGTCAACTATAGACCAGTCGGTACATGATCTGTGATGTGGTCAGCTATGGACCAGTCGGTACATGATCGGTGATGTGGTCAACTATAGACCAGTCGGTACATGATCTGTGATGTGATCAACTATAGACCAGTCGGTACATGATCTGTGATGTGGTCAACTATAGACCAGTCGGTACATGATCGGTGATGTGGTCAACTGTAGACCAGTCGGTACATGATCTGTGATGTGGTCAACTATAGACCAGTCGGTACATGATCGGTGATGTGGTCAACTGTAGACCAGTCGGTACATGATCGGTGATGTGGTCAACTATAGACCAGTCGGTACATGATCTGTGATGTGATCAACTATAGACCAGTCGGTACATGATCTGTGATGTGGTCAACTATAGACCAGTCGGTACATGATCGGTGATGTGGTCAACTATAGACCAGTCGGTACATGATCGGTGATGTGGTCAACTGTAGACCAGTCGGTACATGATCTGTGATGTGGTCAACTATAGACCAGTCGGTACATGATCTGTGATGTGGTCAGCTATGGACCAGTCGGTACATGATCTGTGATGTGGTCAACTATAGACCAGTCGGTACATGATCTGTGATGTGATCAACTATAGACCAGTCGGTACATGATCTGTGATGTGATCAACTGTAGACCAGTCGGTACATGATCGGTGATGTGGGCAACTATAGACCAGTCAGTACATGATCTGTGATGTGGTCAGCTATAGACCAGTCGGTACATGATCTGTGATGTGGTCAACTATAGACCAGTCGGTACATGATCGGTGATGTTGTCAGCTATAAACCAGTCGGTACATGATCGGTGATGTGGTCAGCTATAGACCAGTCGGTACATGATCTGTGATGTGGTCAACTATAGACCAGTCGGTACATGATCGGTGATGTGGTCAACTATAGACCAGTCGGTACATGATCGGTGATGTGGTCAACTATAGACCAGTCGGTACATGATCGGTGATGTGGTCAACTATAGACCAGTCGGTACATGATCGGTGATGTGGTCCACTATAGACCAGTCGGTACATGATCGGTGATGTGGTCAACTATAGACCAGTCGGTACATGATCGGTGATGTGGTCAACTATAGACCAGTCGGTACATGATCGGTGATGTGGTCAACTATAGACCAGTCGGTACATGATCTGTGATGTGGTCAGCTATAGACCAGTCGGTACATGATCGGTGATGTGATCAACTATAGACCAGTCGGTACATGATCGGTGATGTGATCAACTATAGACCAGTCGGTACATGATCGGTGATGTGATCAACTATAGACCAGTCGGTACATGATCGGTGATGTGATCAACTGTAGACCCGTCGGTACATGATCGATGATGTGATCAACTGTAGACCAGTCAGTACATGATCTGTGATGTGATCAACTATAAACCAGTCGGTACATGATCTGTGATGTGGTCAGCTATAGACCAGTCGGTACATGATCGGTGATGTGATCAACTGTAGACCAGTCGGTACATGATTGATGATGTGATCAACTGTAGACCAGTCGGTACATGATCGGTGATGTGATCAACTGTAGACCAGTCGGTACATGATCGGTGATGTGGTCAACTATAGACCAGTCGGTACATGATCTGTGATGTGGTCAGCTATAGACCAGTCGGTACATGATCGGTGATGTGGTCAACTATAGACCAGTCGGTACATGATCTGTGATGTGGTCAGCTATAGACCAGGTCGGTACATGACCCCCCGGGGGGCCACCGGTGATGTGAAACTATTTGCCCTGTCGGTACATGATCTTGGTAATTGGATCAACTATAGACCAGTCGTACATGATCTGTGATGTGGTCAAACTATAGACCAGTCGGTACTGATCTGTGATGTTGTCAACCTATAGGACCAGGGGGTACATGATCTGTGATGTGGTAAACTATAGACCAGTCAGTACATGATCGGTGATGTGATCAACTGTAGACCAGTCAGTACATGATCGGTGATGTGATCAACTATAGACCAGTCGGTACATGATCGGTGATGTGGTCAACTATAGACCAGTCGGTACATGATCGGTGATGTGGTCAACTATAGACCAGTCGGGACATGATCGGTGATGTGGTCAGCTATAGACCAGTCGGTACATGATCGGTGATGTGGTCAACTATAGACCAGTGGGTCCATGATCGATGATGTGGTCAACATTATGCCAGGACATGAGCTCATACCCATCTTAGACAGGGTCAACCCGGCAGCCAAGGTCATGAAACAATGGGCATGAAATTTCAGCTTTTCCTATTCAAGGTTCTATAACACAGTCTCTGAAGATCAGTGGGGTAAAAGTTTGTAGTGTGAAGGAGTTGTTTTGACCAAATTCCACTTACTTATATCTTCCTGTGGTGAATACTTAATGTTGCATTCTTCTTGTGCTCAGATTCGGACCTGCAGGCTGAGAAAGAGACACTGGCTCACCTTGAAGAGGTCTACCAGAAGCAAGACCTGACTCCTGCTGATGTGGAGAGGCTGAAAGCTGAGCAGGAGGCTCTGAAGCAGCAGGTGGAGCAGCTGGACAAGCAGATCGCTAACATTGACACAGACAACTGGAACATTACAATCGAACAAGCCAAAATTAATGAGAAGGTAATGGGGCAATAGGGTCGGGACTATTAGTGGTTCTTTTAACATTGACAACTAGAAAATTACTGTAGAACAGGTCAAACTTAATTAGAAGGTAATGTAATTAGGTCTAGGCTGTGTCAGTGGTTCTTTTAACATTGACAACTAGAACATTACAGTAGAACAGGTCAAACTTAATTAGAGGTTAATGTGGTAATTAGGTCTAGGCTGTGTCAGTGGTTCTTTTAACATTGACAACTAGAACATTACTGTAGAACAGGTCAAACTTAATTAGGAGGTTAATGTGGTAATTAGGTCTAGGCTGTGTCACTGGTTCTTTTAACATTGACAACTAGAACATTACTGTAGTAACAGGGTCAAAACTTAATTAGGAGGTTAATGTGGTAACTGAGGTCTTAGGCTGTGTCAGTGTTTCTTTTAACATTGACAACTAGAAAAATTACTGTAGAACAGTCAAACTTACTTAGAAGGTTATGTAATTAGGTCTAGGCTGTGTCAGTGGTTCTTTTAACATTGACAACTAGAACATTACTGTAGAACAGGTCAAACTTAATTAGGTGGTAATTAGGTCTAGGCTGTGTCAGTGGTTCTTTTAACATTGACAACTAGAAAATTACTGTAGAACAGGTCAAACTTAATTAGAAGGTTATGTAATTAGGTCTAGGCTGTGTCAGTGGTTCTTTTAACATTGACAACTAGAACATTACTGTAGAACAGGTCAAACTTAATTAGGAGGTTAATGTGGTAATTAGGTCTAGGCTGTGTCAGTGGTTCTTTTAACATTGACAACTGGAACATTACAGTAGAACAAGCCAGACTTAATTAGAGGGTAATGTGGTAATTAGGATTCCAGTCTCTAGGTGTTTTATTTCTCATGTTATGTCAGTGACCAGAAAAGTTCCCCAGTGATGGGTGTTTTTGTTTTGTAGAACCTTGTTTCTGTAGACCACTGGGCAGCTGCTGTGGGAATATCTGTTGTGTGTGACCTAGTTACTGTAGACCACTGGGCAGCTGCTGTGGGAATATCTGTTGTGTGTGACCTAGTTACTGTAGACCACTGGGCAGCTGCTGTGGGAATATCTGTTGTGTGTGTGACCTAGTTACTGTAGACCACTGGGCAGCTGCTGTGGGAATATCTGTTGTGTGTGACCTAGTTACTGTAGACCACTGGGCAGCTGCTGTGGGAATATCTGTTTTGTGTGACCTAGTTACTGTAGACCACTGGGCAGCTGCTGTGGGAATATCTGTTGTGTGTGACCTAGTTACTGTAGACCACTGGGCAGCTGCTGTGTGGGAATATCTTGTTGTGTGTGTGACCTAGTTACTGTAGACCACTAGGCAGCTGCTGTGGGAATATCTGTTGTGTGTGACCTAGTTACTGTAGACCACTGGGCAGCTGCTGTGGGAATATCTGTTGTGTGTGACCTAGTTACTGTAGACCACTGGGCAGCTGCTGTGGGAATATCTGTTTTGTGTGACCTAGTTACTGTAGACCACTGGGCAGCTGCTGTGGGAATATCTGTTGTGTTTTTTATGACCTAGTTAGCGGGCAAATGCTGTGTAAATATCTGTTTTGTGGAACCTTGTTTCTGTAGACCACCGGGCAGCTACTGTGGGAATATCTGTTTTGAGTGACCTAGTTAGTGTAGACGACTAGGCAGCTGCTATGGGAATATCTGCTGTGTGTTTTATGTGACCCAGTTAGTGTAGACGACTAGGCAGCTGCTATGGGAATATCTGTTGTGTGTTTAGTGTGACCCAGTTAGTGTAGACGACTAGGCAGCTGCTATGGGAATATCTGTTTTGTGTGACCTAGTTAGTGTAGACGACTAGGCAGCTACTATGGGAATATCTGTTTTGTGTGACCCAGTTAGTGTAGACGACTAGGCAGCTGCTGTGGGAATATCTGTTTTGTGTGACCTAGTTAGTGTAGACGACTAGGCAGCTGCTATGAGAATATCTGTTGTGTTTTGTGTGACCCAGTTAGTGTAGACCACTGGGCAGCTGCTATAGGAATATCTGTTGTGTGTGACCTAGTTACTGTAGACCACGGGGCAGATGCTGTGGGAATATCTGTTGTGTGGGAATATCTGTGTTGTGTGACCTAGTTACTGTAGACCACTGGGCAGATGCTGTGGGAATATCTGTTGTTTGTGACCTAGTTACTGTATACCACTGGGCAGCTGCTGTGGGAATATATGTTGTGTGTTCTGTGTGACCTAGTTAGCGGGCAAATGCTTTATAAATATCTGTTTTGTGGAACCTTGTTTCTGTAGACCACCGGACAACTGCTGTAGGAATATCTGTTGTGTGTTTTGTGTGACCTAGTTAGTGTAGACAACTAGGCAGCTGCTATGGGAATATCTGTTGTGTGTTTTATGTGACCCAGTTAATGTAGACCATTGGGCAGCTGCTTTAGAAATCTGTTGTGTTTTGTGTGACCTAGTTAGTGTAGACCACTGGGCAGCTGCTGTGGGAATATCTGTTGTGTGTTCTGTGTGACCTAGTTAGTGTAGACGACTAGGCAGCTGCTGTGGGAATATCTGTTGTGTGTTTTTTATGACCTAGTTAGTGTAGACGACTAGGCAGCTGCTATGGGAATATCTGTTGTGTGTTTTATGTGACCCAGTTAATGTAGACCACTGGGCAGCTGCTTTAGGAATCTGTTGTGTTTTGTGTGACCTAGTTAGTGTAGACCACTGGGCAGCTGCTGTGGGAATATCTGTTTTGTGTGACCTAGTTAGTGTTGACAGAAGTTAAAAGGAGGATGGCCATAGCAATACAAAAATTAACAGCTTTTAATTCTATGGTTAAGCACCAGCAAGATCAAAATTAGAATTTTGAGAGCATGCATCTTCCCTGTGGCTACATGCGGACGTGAGTCGTGGACCATCTCTCACTCCTTAAGAAAGAGAAAAGAGCTTTTGAGCTCAAATGCCAAAGAAAGATTCTCAGAATTTCTTGGACAAAGAAGAGAAATTCTGACATCTTGAAAGATCTGAACTTCAAGGAAGATTGGCTAATAAACAGCATCCTGTCTCGGAAGCTGAAATATTTTGGTCATATCAAGCGCCACAACGGATTGGAAAAAATTATAGCAGAAGGCATGGTACCAGGAAGGAGGGGCAGGGGCCGACCAACACGAAGATGGGCACAGGATATAGATGACTCCTTGAGTATGAAAGTACCTGAGGTGGGAGAACTGGCGAGAGACAGAGTTTGTTTCAGGCAGACTGTGATGAGAGCGGCGTTCTGCAAAGGACCCGCTACATGATGATGAGTTAGCGTAGACCACTAGGCAGCTGCTATGGGAATATCTGTTGTGTGTTTTATGTGACCTAGTTACTGTAGACCACTGGGCAGCTATTATGGGAATATCTGTTGTGTGTTTTATGTGACCTAATGTAAACTACTGGGCAGCTGCTATGGGAATATCTGTTGTGTGTTTTATGTGACCTAATGTAAACTACTAGGCAGCTGCTATGGGAATATCTGTTGTGTGTTTTATGTGACCTAGTGTAAACTACTAGGCAGCTGCTATAGGAATATCTGTTGTGTTTTATGTGACCTAGTTACTGTAGACCACTGGGCAGCTATTATGGGAATATCTGTAGCTATGACACTGTGTCCTCTCTGTCACAGGTGGAGACCGAGGTGGCCAGCTACAACAGAATGGCTATTGCTCTGAAACTGGTGCCAGAGACAGCAGAGTTGGCCGGGGGCAAAGACTACAGACTCAGGAGTGGGTTTGCCTCTGATATTGTTGGAAGCTTTGAGGATGTTATCAAGGTTTGTGTGTGTCCCTCTCTGTTTCTGCTCCATTTCTGTGTCTGAACTTTTGGGTTTCTTCTGTTGGCCCAACAGCAAAGTAGCCAATAAGATAGCTGGGCTGATCTGTCAGCGTGGTAATATAAGCCTTAAGATTGGCTGGCTGGTCTTTATACCAGCTAATTCAATATCTTGTGCATGTGGCCTGATCAGGTGGCTTTCATGAGAGGGTGTTGTATTTTTAATTTTGCATCAGTTTTTTGGGGGGAAGGGGTAAATGTGCCCAATAATGGTGGAAATGACTGTGTTGCGTCATAGCAACCAAAATGTAACAGGAGGCAAAAAATAGGAGTAGAACCATGTGCTAGAGGTGTCTGGAGGGCCTATAGGACCCTGCTTCCCAGAAGACAGAGTATTCAGGCTTCATTCATTAGACAAGTTTGCCACATTATTTAATTTAGTCATGTTTGTCCCAAGTAATTTAGAGATGTTAGTGTGATTCCTAAAGATTGTGATAGTTCATTCAATTTACTGGGTGAAACTATAGTTTTGTATGTTTATTAAACACGTTTAAAAAAAAAAAAAAAAATTCTGTGTGTGTGAATTAAGAGAATCCCCTTAAAAAGGCTCCATCTCCAAAGGGTTAGGTATGCGATATTATATGCAATTTACTTCAAATATTTATTTACATAATTCCCATTTGCTGAGAACGAATGAAATGGTTACTGTCATGACTAGTACCATTTGTTGTATAGAAATAGGAATAGCTTTAAAGAATATTTATAATACATGTGCATATATATAGACACTTGTGTCATGATAATGTAACATTTTTTTCAGCCGTTGTTAACTTCTATGAAGAAAATGTGCACAACAGAACTGCACCAGAAGAGCAAAGAAAAGTTCCAGCTGACGTATGAGATAGAACAGGTATTTGACATTTTTTACTCTCACTGACCTTTTTTTTTTTTGTCTTCCTGACACTGATTTATCTTTTCTTTTTGACACTGATTTATCTTGTCTTCCTGACAGATTTGTCTTGTCTTTCTGACACTTTTTTTTTATCGATCACCGGTTGTGAATTCCGGCGGAAGGTCCCGGTTAATCGTCTGCTTGGACTTTTGGCTTTCACCTGGACCTGATTTTTGCGTGTACAACCGTTTTACTGTTCCCTGCCTCATGGGCAGCTGTACTCTGACTTTGAAGGACATTTTTCTGGCACTGATTTATCTTGTCTTCCTGACAGATTTGTCTTTTCTTTCTGACAGATTTGTCTTTTTTTCTGACTGATTTATCTTGTCTTCCTGGCAGATTTATCTTGTCTTTCTGACACTGATTTATCTTGTCTTCCTGACAGATTTGTCTTGTCTTTCTGACACTGATTTATCTTGTCTTCCTGACAGATTTGTCTTGTCTTCCTGACACTTATTTGTGTTGTCTTCCTGACACTTATTTGTGTTGTCTTCCTGACACCGATTTATTTTGTCTTCCTGACACCCAGTTGTCTTGTTTTTCTTATGTTGACCTGTCTTGTCTTTCAGATATTAACCCCTCTTGTCTTTTAGACACAGATGTGCAGTATTCCTGACAGTTTTCTTTGTGGCATTGAGTTATTTATTTATAGAATTATTCCCCTACCCAGCAAGTATGTTGTAAAAAGCAAACGATTCGCACTTTGCTGAAATCAGAAATGTTGGGCCTAGCTGTGAACCACAACACAGCATTAACCGCAGAAGAATAATGATCACTTGAGATTGTACATACACTGTTTGTTATTTATGATGTTTCTATTTTCTGTGCAATGTGTTTGTGGTAGTTACCTTTGCAAATGATTCTCAATGTTGACCCTCTCCTACTTATTGTCAGTTCCTGGAAGTTATCAATGAACGCAAGGAGCTGGTGGCCCAAATGACGAAAGAACTGGCAAATAAAGAAGCTGAAATAGAATCCATGAAACAGGTACTAGCTTTTTGTCCACTTTCTTTATTGTCGTTATCATGTGTCATGTTGAAGCACACTGGCAACCGTGATTCACTCTAACATCTTCACCATCATCAGTTTCCACTTCTGCCATTTAGCGCTGTGGGGAGGAACAGCATGCGATCCATTGCTTGATGGGCAGCAATGGCTTTTGTCATTCGGTGTTGATGTAAAAGCTCTCTAATGTCATCAATCCATCTTCTCCTAGGACAACCTTTTGATTTCACTTCAGATCCTTTCATGTGTAGTGCCTGCACTGGTAGCTGTTCTTGCTGCATTCTTACTAAAATACCAAACCATTTCTTCTTTTTCTCACTGAATTTGCTGCATGGTGTTGTTCCTACAGTCTGTCTGATAATTTAATTTCTCATGTCTTGGATGGTTAAGTTGGTGGGCTTTTTTCAGGCATCTCATTTCACAGGTGTTAATTTTACATAGGTTAGTCTTTGATAATGTCCAAGACTGACACTGGTAGCACAGTGCTGGTATGAATATGCTGTTTATAATCTGTTTCTTGGCGTTCATGCTTATGTTTGGATTTCTTAATAATGGTGTTAGTTGGTATATGTGCCCTGGCTCATTGGCCTCTTTTTTACTACTCTTACACCATCAGTCTCAGATTAGTGATGTACTCTTGTCCCAGTTTTATACATCCCTGTTGCTCTTGTCAGTTAATTTGTTTCTCTGTCCATACCATTGCATTTTCTAGCTTTTCACTGTGTTAAAAGATGTTTATAGTTGCCAAGTGTGCTGGGCAATTATCTGGCAAACCTCGTCATGTGTGGTGTGATTTGTCACCAGGAATGTTAAGTCTTCCTCTGTAGAACATCACCTCTGAGACTTGGAGAAATTGAGGAAACAAGGATTAGGAGCACTGGAACTTACCACACATGTCAAAACAGAAGACTAAGTCTGGCTGGAGTGAGGCCGACTATCTTTATCTAGTAATATATATGTTATCATCATCATGTAGCAGGTCCTTTGCAGAACGTCGCTTTCATCACGGTCTGCCTGAAAGAAACTTGGTCTCTCGCCAACTCTCCCACCTCATGTACTCTCATACTTAAGGAGTCACTTATATCCTGTGCCTATCTTCGTGTTGTTCGGCCCCTGCCCCGCCTTCCTGGTACCATGCCTTCTGGTATTATTTTTTCCAATCCGTCGTGGCGCTTGATCTGACCAAAATATTTCAGCTTCTGAGACAGGATGCTGTTTATTAGCTAGTCTTCCTTGATGTTCAGATCTTTCAAGATGTCGTGATTTCTCCTCTTCTTTGTCCAAGATATTCTGAGAATCTTTCTATAGCACTTCAGTTCAAAAGCCCCTATTCTCTTTCTTACTAATATATTTGTATAGCTGCATAATCTTAACTAATTCTGAACAAGTTTATAAAAGACTTTTTATGAGTTGGTTGAGGGCCTTCTCTGAGAGATGAAAGAATAATAATAGGTCAAATGAAAACACACATTCTGTCAGATTATTTGAATAATGCATTGAACATGGACTTTTATGTATGGTCAGCTGCTACACTCTGGCAAGAAGACTGAGGAACTAGAAACACTGAGACAGAAGTCGATTCAGCTTGAAGCCTTGGCCAAGCAAGCTGAGGCAGAGAGGGCAAGAGTTCAGGATGAGTACCAGACAGTTTGTAAACTGTAAGTTGTCAGTAACTATGTCATCTACCACGTTTCTCTGAAAATAAGACCTTTCCCAAAAAATATGGCCTAGCACAATTGTTAGGATATTTTAATATAAGGCCTAGTTAAGATTGTCTGCTAGAAGGCGAGATTTGTTGCTGAATGGCTAGTTAGACTACAGCTGCTAATGGGATGGACTTGATAATGTATGAATAGGTTCATAATTCAAAGTAGGTCACTTGTGAAATAAAGATGCCAAATTTTCAATTCTTTATTGTGTGCCATTGTTCTTAACTCTGATTATTATTTTTATCTAAAAAATAAGACATCATCTAAAAATAATAATCTTATGCATTTTTTTTTTAAGCAAAAATAAATATTTTCCCAACGGTTGCCGGCTGTAAACTCAGGTGGACAATTCTGGTTGTTCATCCACCTGTGGACTTTCGTTTTGTTCCAGAACCTGACTTGCATGCACACCTGTTACAGATCTGGCTTATTTGAATGCAGACTGTTGGTTCCCTGCCTTTCAGGCAGATACACTCTGAAATGGAAGGAAACCCCCAGTTAGTCGACTCTTAAGACATGCTTGTTGGGGAGGCAGTAGGTCTTTTCCTGTTTTTTTTTCACAATGGAGCCCAGGAACTGACAGGGGAAACAATGAATATAAGACCTAGCCTTATTTTCAGGGAAACACGTTCGGTCAGGAGGATATCACATACATTTGTGCTTATTACGTTTTATGAATGTGGCAGTTGGACATTATATATACACACAGACACATATATGTCTACATATATACGTGTGTGTCGATACACACACACACATATATGTCTACATATATATGTGTGTGTCGATACACACACACATATATGTCTACATATAAATGTGTGTGTGGATAAACACACACACATATATGTCTACATATATACGTGTGTGTCGATACACACACACATATATGTCTACATTTAAATGTGTGTGTCGATACACACACATACATGCTCATAGAGAATTTGTGTATCCCCATTATTTTAGTGCTATAATTGAGAGAGAGAGAGAGAGAGACGCATATGCATGCACTCACACGAAGACAGAAAGAAATAGTATGGGTAGCGGAAGAAATCCCGGAGCATTTGAAGTAATGAATAATTGTTAACATTCCAAGGAAATGTAATTTTACTGAGAATAACAACTGGGCAAGAATTATTCTGTTACTGGTAATGTCAAATAATTCTCAGTACAATCAGATGGACAGTGGACAAATCCTAAGAGAGGAACAAGCAGGTCTTTGACCTAGAAAGAGATGATTAGATCAGATTTTCATTGTGAGAATTATGTTTATAGAATTTCTTGAAAAACCCAACAATCCCTTATTTTGAATGTCTTTGACTTTAAGAAGGCTTTTGATAGTTTATATAGAACATCACTATGGGGAATTGTGGAATGCTATTGTATAGATAGTTAGTTGCGTATCCTTTACAGGACGTCGCAGAACAAACCCTAACAGCCCCTGGCTGTTGTGTGGTTTCTCTAGGCAATTTACATCCAGTAGTTTGCCATTGCTTTCTGGACGGTCGGCTTTCTTTATACCACTGTCGAAACCAACGCAAGGCGCATTGCCAGCAGCTGGGATCGAACCTGGCATTACGAAACGAAGCGTTCGCATCAACTTAGCCACAGAGCCGACATGCTATTGTATACCAATGAAAATAATAAATATTATTAAGACAGTGTATGAAGGTTTAGAGTGCAGTGCGAACAGAGGATGGTTCAAGTGATTGGTTTGAAGTTGTTACTGGACTGCAACAGGGATGTATTTTATCTTCTCTGTTATTTGGCATAACCAATGACTGGATGATGAAGAAATGTTGTGTTTGAAACAAATGCATTGACTGGGTGGAGAGCACAGTTTCAAGATCTGTTTCCTTTGAAACAAATTCATTGACTGGGTGGAGAGCACAGTTTCAAAATCTGTTTCCTTTGAAACAAATGCATTGACTGGGTGGAGAGCACAGTTTCAAGATCTGTTTCCTTTGAAACAAATGCATTGACTGGGTGGAGAGCACAGTTTCAAGATCTGTTTCCTTTGAAACAAATGCATTGACTGGGTGGAGAGCACAGTTTCAAGATCTGTTTCCTTTGAAACAAATGCATTGACTGGGTGGAGGAGAGCACAGTTTCAAGATCTGTTTCCTTTGAAAAACAAATGCATTGACTGGGTGGAGAGCACAGTTTCAAGATCTGTTTCCTGAAACAAATGCATTGAACTGGTGGAGAACACAAATGCCTTTGAACTGGGTGGGAGAGCACAGTTTCAAGATCTGTTTCCTTTGAAACAAATGCATTGGACTGGGTGGAGAGCACAGTTTCAAAAGATTCCTGTAAAACAAAAAGGGGTGGAGAAAGTAAAACAAGATCTGTTTCCTTAACACAAACAAATGCATTGATGGGGTAAATCTAGCATTAAGGGTTGGACTGCACATAAATTATGACAAGACACAATATACTGAACACACTAACAAACAGATGATGGGGTAAATCTAGCATTAAGGGTTCCTAAATTGAAACATAAATATGACAAGACAAAATATACTGAACACACTGAACAGTTTAAAGACAGATGATGGGGTAAATCTAGCATTGAAGGGTTGGACTGCACATAATTATGACAAGACAAAATATACTGAACACACTAACAAACAGATGATGGGGTAAATCTAGCATTAAGGGTTGGACTGCACATAAATTATGACAAGACACAATATACTGAACACACTAACAAACAGATGATGGGTAAATCTAGCATTAAGGGTTGGACTGCACATAAATTATGACAAGACACAATATACTGAACACACTAAACAAACAGATGATGGGGTAAATCTAGCATTAAGGGTTGGACTGCACATAAATTATGACAAGACAAAATATACTGAACACACTAACAAACAGATGATGGGGTAAATCAGAGGGTTGGACTGGACACAATATACTGAACACATAACAAACTGAGCATTAGCATTAAGGGTTGGACTGCACATAAATTATGACAAGACACAATATACTGAACACACTAACAAACAGATGGGGTAAATCTAGCATAAGGGGGGTAAAATCTAGCATTAAGGGTTGGACTGCACACATAAATTATGACAAGACACAATATACTGAACACACTAACAAACAGATGATGGGGTAAATCTAGCATTAAGGGTTGGACTGCACATAAATTATGACAAGACACAATATACTGAACACACTAACAAACAGATGATGGGGTAAATCTAGCATTAAGGGTTGGACTGCACATAAATTATGACAAGACACAATATACTGAACACACTAACAAACAGATGATGGGGTAAATCTAGCATTAAGGGTTGGACTGCACATAAATTATGACAAGACACAATATACTGAACACACTAACAAACAGATGATGGGGTAAATCTAGCATTAAGGGTTGGACTGCACATAAATTATGACAAGACAAAATATACTGAACACACTAACAAACAGATGATGGGGTAAATCTAGCATTAAGGGTTGGACTGCACATAAATTATGACAAGACACAATATACTGAACACACTAACAAACAGATGATGGGGTAAATCTAGCATTAAGGGTTGGACTGCACATAAATTATGACAAAGACAAAATATACTGAACACACTAACAAACAGATGAACAAATCTAGCATTAAGGTTGGACTGCACATAAATTATGACAAGGAACACACTAACAACAGATGATGGGGTAAATCTAGCATTAAGGGTTGGACTGCACATAAATTATGACAAGACACAATATACTGAACACACTAACAAACAGATGATGGGGTAAATCTAGCATTAAGGGTTGGACTGCACATAAATTATGACAAGACACAATATACTGAACACACTAACAAACAGATGATGGGGTAAATCTAGCATTAAGGGTTGGACTGCACATAAATTATGACAAGACACAATATACTGAACACACTAACAAACAGATGATGGGGTAAATCTAGCATTAAGGGTTGGACTGCACATAAATTATGACAAGACAAAATATACTGAACACACTAACAAACAGATGATGGGGTAAATCTAGCATTAGGGTTGGACTGCACACATAAATTATGACAAACACAATATACTGAACACACTAACAAACAGATGATGGGGTAAATCTAGCATTAAGGGTTGGACTGCACATAAATTATGACAAGACACAATATACTGAACACACTAACAAACAGATGATGGGGTAAATCTAGCATTAAGGGTTGGACTGCACATAAATTATGACAAGACACAATATACTGAACACACTAACAAACAGATGATGGGGTAAATCTAGCATTAAGGGTTGGACTGCACATAAATTATGACAAGACACAATATACTGAACACACTAACAAACAGATGATGGGGTAAATCTAGCATTAAGGGTTGGACTGCACATAAATTATGACAAGACACAATATACTGAACACACTAACAAACAGATGATGGGGTAAATCTAGCATTAAGGGTTGGACTGCACATAAATTATGACAAGACACAATATACTGAACACACTAACAAACAGATGATGGGGTAAATCTAGCATTAAGGGTTGGACTGCACATAAATTATGACAAGACACAATATACTGAACACACTAACAAAAACAGATGATCAAGGGGGGTAATACTCTAGCATTAAGGGTTTGGACTGCACATAAATTATGACAAGACACAATATACTGAACACACTAACAAACAGATGATGGGGTAAATCTAGCATTAAGGGTTGGACTGCACATAAATTATGACAAGACACAATATACTGAACACACTAACAAACAGATGATGGGGTAAAATCTAGCATTAAGGGTTGGACTGCACATAAATTATGACAAGACACAATATACTGAACACACTAACAAACAGATGATGGGGTAAATTATGGACTGCAAATAAATTATGACAAGACACAATATACTGAACACACTAACAAACAGATGATGGGGTAAACAGCATTAAT